TTTGTTTTATTGGACACAGAGTTTCTTGTCAAACACATTTCTTTCCTTAAAAGAAACAGCCTGAAGCTGCTAGTGCTTGGGAGATATGTTAGCCAAAGCAGGAGAAAAGAAGTAGAAGGGAATAGTAAGGCTATTTTCACCTTCTATTTTAGAAGCTTGTCAATATCTTGAAGTATCTATGGAAGTGAAATACATTGTGAATAGGAATAGTAAAGTTAAGTAATATGTGTAGATAAGCCCAACACAAAGAGAAAAATAAAAGGATCCAGGGCAATTGTGGTTTCCCCTATTCTGCCTTTACAGCTACAAAATAGCATAAAAAGGGTTCCAAAAATTCTGTCTTGGATTTTTTTAATGAGTTTCTGCTAGTCGTGGGGTTGAGACTAGAGGAAGTGGACTCAGGAAAGCAAGAGCTGTTCATTATTCAGTTTGAACTGAAGCCAATTAACTGTGCTGCATGTTCTAAAGAAACCTTGGAGAGACTCCCTACTCGCCTTAGAAATCAGAAAACCTACTCCCAATGTTGTAGAAGAAAAGAGGAGATGCAAAGACTCTCAGAGGTGCAGCCTCCCAGTGGGGCCATCTTGAGCAACTCACTTAAATGAATAGGTATTGCTCTCATTTTACAGGTAAGAAAACAATCTGCCCTGCCTTCTTAAGGAGCGGACCTGGACCTTAGTACATTATTACATTGAAGTACTTTCGAACTATAGATGTCTGTGTAAGAGTAACATGTGGGCAAAATGTTTGGTACTTGGACAGAGTCCCAGTTTTGTAGCCACATATTTTAGGATCTTGTCAGGAAAGAGGCAATTGAGGAGAATTTAACAAAGGGACTGTTGACAAAGGTATGACCTGGTTAAGAGAGAGCTTCATGGAAGAATGCGGCACCAGATGCTAGCAATAGAAGTACCATCAAGACTCCTAGATCTTAAGGAGCAAAGGAAGGTGGCAGTTACTGGACACTAGATAGAATTTTACTTTAATGATATCTCTAAATAATAACCTGAGTGGCCAAATACAGGAATAAAGACTTTGTAGGAGTCTTTGGGGGAGTCATTTGCACAACCTCCCAGGTTAATGTGTGTTGGTGGAGTCTAACAAAAAGCCAGAGAGTAAGGGAATTAATTGAGGCAATCTATTAAGGCTACCCTTCCATGCCAACACTGGGTGGATAGGGCTGGGCAGTGGACTTGTAGGAGCAATTGTAGAATATTCTGTACTCTTACCATCATCCACATAAACATTAAAAAGTCTGCCTGGGGAAGGGAAACAGTATGTTTGGGTAACTACTGTGTACCAAGAACTTGGCCTGAATTATCTCACATCATCTTGGAATATCCACAATGAGAAGCTGGTTATTATCTCTGTTTGAGAGGATATGGAGTTTTGATGAGTTTAATAATTTATTCATGGTCACAAAGTTGGTAAGCTTAAGACTAAGATAAAAAATGCAAACCCGCCTGATTTCAATTAGGAGGGGAACATTGATAAGAGGAATCAAACTTGAAAATATTTGGTTGACCCTTGAACAACACAGGTTTAAACTGTGAGGTTCTACTTACATGTACCTTTTTTTCAATAAATATTTTGTAAATTTTTCTGAGATTTTCAACAATTTGGAAAAATTGACAGATGAACTAGGTAGCCTAGAATGTTAAAAACATTAAAAAAAATGAATATCATGAATGCATAAAATGTGTGTAGATACTATTATTACCGGAAAGAGGGTTCTTGGATGTCGTGCAAGAAAGAAATAAGGGCAAGTCTGTAGAATAGTGAATGCAAGTTTATTAAGCAAGTAAAGGAATAAAAGAATGGCTATTCCATAGACAGAGCAGTCCTGGGGTTGTTAGTTGCCCATGTTTATGTTTATTTCTTGATGATATGCTGAGCAATGGTTGGATTATTCATGCCTCCCCTTTTTTTAGACCATATAGAGTAACTTCCTGAAATTGATGTGGCATTTGTAAACTGTCATGGTGCTGGTGGGAGTGTAGCAGTAAGGATGACCAGAGGTCATCTTGTCGCTATCTTGGTTTTGGTGGGTTTGGGCCAGTTTCTTTACTCCAACCTGTTTTATCAGCAAGGTCTTTATGATCTGTATCTTGTTCTGGCTTCCTATCTCATCCTGTAAATTAGAATGCCTTAACTGTCTGGGAATGCAGCTCAGAAGGTCTCAGCTTTATTTTACGTAGCCCCTATTCAAGACGGAGTTGTTCCGGTTCACAACCCTCTTCAATATTCTATTTATATGTTAATTGACTGTGTTATCAGAAAGGTTTGTGGTCAATAGTAGCTTATTAGCAGTTAAGTTTTGGGGGAGTCAAAAGTGACATACGGATTTTCAACTGCATGTGGAGTCAGTGCCCCTAACCTCCCGTGTTGTTCAAGAGTCAACTGTGTATGCATCTTAGGTAGCATGAAGCTGCTTACCTCAATGTGGGGGGGTAAAAAGACTTTTGCAATTGATGAAGTCCCATGCAGCATTTCTTGTCCTATTTGATAAACAAGATTCTCCACTGCGATGCTGCACTCATATTCTGATCTAACTCGTCGACACTAACCCAAAGGTGTTATTTCCAAGTGAGTAAAAAAACTATTTTAATTCCAAATGCCTGAGACATCACAGTTTTGTTTTATTTTACATTTTCACTTTCACAACACATAAAAGAAATGATGAGAATAATACATACCAATCTTTTTTTGACTTGGAGAAGTTGTAGGAGTTCTTTCATGCAGGTAACCTGAAAAGTCTCATGCATAGACCTCACCTCATCAACTTTCTTGAAAAATATTGCTGCCTTCCTTGGAGAATGACATTATTTTGCTCTGACTGTTAGAAGCTCCATGTCAAATTCCAAAGTCCAATGGGTGGCATAATCAATGATGACCTTAGAATGTGGTGGTACAAGCATTCATGTAAATGTCATGGGAGGAAAACAATGTTCTTATCTTCTTTACTGAAAATCTGAGCCCTAATGAAAATATTCTAGGTTATAAAATTGTATATTCATAGCAGAGTAGCTATCTTGGTATCTCAACATGCTAATATAATGAGGTTTGTTATCTTTGTTGCTGTGTTTTGCTTATCTGTTTGTTTTCTTCTCAAAAATGCCTCACAGTGGTCTAAATCTGAATGGTTGACATATTTCTACTTTTCTTTCTGTTTTTATTTTTAACTATATAGGTATGATCTATGAGTTACATTATGATGTGATCAAATCCTGAAACAAAGCATTGCATTGAAAAATATCATCATAGTATTACAAATGTTTGCAAATAAGCAAGGTTATCTAATTCAGTGCTCCCTGAATGGGAAGCCCTATTATTAAATTGTGTCAGAGTCTAATAAAGTGTATAAGAACTCACAGTTCTCCCCAGAGCCTGCTCCCTGTGTAGGTGCTTTGTATTTCTGTGGTCACTCTTGGGACTCATTTGCTACTCAAATGATTCAGGGACTTGAACTTCTTGCAATGCTTTTACAGACAGATGATTTTTAAAAACTATATGAATTTTAAAAAAAAGAATTACAACTTCAGAAGTGGCCAAGGCAATGGCTCAGCTTTAATTTGAATTGAACATGTATGGTGCCCCTGGGTTAGAAGTGAAGGGGTTAAATTATCTTTAATCTGGACGTCTTCCTTTTACCTTGACCAGAAATGTAACACACATCAATTCAATAGAAGTATTCTGGACTAGTCAAAACAAGTTTTATTATGGACATTTAGCAATATGGGTAAGGGGCATCTTATGACATAGAGTTAAGTAAAAATGCAGGAAATTTAAAAATACAATATTATCATACGAATATATCTGTCAGTTGTGTGACATGGGAAAATATGAAATACCTACAACATTTATCAATATGAGAATGCCTTAACCACGTATAGTATATTGTACAATGAAAAATTATGCAACTGTAGGAAGTAATGAGGTGAACTTCTACCCAGTGATGAGGAAGTTTTTAAAAAACATCTCCTGTGAAAAGAGAAAGTCTCAGAATGCTGCCTATATTACGATCATGTCTGTGGTTAAATGTTTATACACACATTTCTGTGTGTGTACATATCATGGCCTTGTAATTTTGCACCTCAAAATGTCAGCATTATCTATGAAAAAACTATGTGGAGGTAGAGAGAGAGAGCTAAATAAGGATTTTTGATTTTCAAAATAACTTCAGGAGGATCTAAGCAAATTTTGAATCTTTAACAAGGGTATTAAATTACCAGTGAAACAAACAGACAAGCCCACATGAAACCCTGAATATATAACAGAAGAAAAAATATTAAGATTTGAGCAGTGATTATTTTATTGTATTTTATGTAATTTTATATTGTATTCACCTTTTCCTTTATCTTCCTATTTTTCTAAACTATTTGCTACACTTTTACAAAGAGAAGATGTGTCTAAACAATTAAAATATAAATATAGTTGAACAGTAGATTAGAACTTAATACACTTGACTATATTAATTCTGATTGTTATTTTGTTCATCTGAGTTGATTCTAATGATGCATTTATTTATTTCATCTCTCTAATGTATTTGTGAACTTCAGAATAATTTATCTTTGACCTCATAGCCTTCAAGCTATTTGTGTGTTTACTCCTCTTTTAGGGGAATTGGGATCTGTGATAAATTGGAGGATTCTTTCACTTCCAGGGTTTTCTGGGGTGGACAAGACTGTGTTCTGATGTACTTTATAATTTGGTAGACAAGGGATGTCATTCAGTTTATTTTCTAATATATATTTTTGCAAGTTCTTTTTTATACATTATAAAACACATTTTTGCAAATTATCTGTAAATGTCTATGACCACAATCTTTCTCGTTGATATAACAGGCACACACAAATCAAATGTCAGAAGAACACAGAAAATTATCTGAGTAGGGACTTGGTGTATGCTTGTGTGTTTCTGTATGTGCGTGTGTGAGATTAATACTTTCATTTTTTATTTAGCTCTCTGACTGAAAGCCATTCTTCCATTTTCCCCCTCAGCTATTATAAAAACTGCCCTTCCCAACATGGACAGAGAAGCCAAGGAGGAGTACCTGGTTGTTATCCAAGCCAAAGATATGGGTGGACACTCTGGTGGCCTGTCTGGGACCACGACACTTACAGTGACTCTTACTGATGTTAATGACAATCCTCCAAAATTTGCACAGAGTAAGTTAATTTCCTGCACTGGATGAGAATCTTGGTATGATGTTTCCATTGGAATTTATATTATAATTTTTAGTCATATTTTAAAACCTGACAGCAACTATTGAGTGGCTTATTATGTGCCAGGTATGGCATGATTTTGGTACTAAACTTATTCCCATTTTACAGATTACAAAGCAGTTGATAACATTTCCAAACATCAAGCATGTAGTAAGTAAGAATTAGAACCAGTATGTCTGACTGCAAGCTGTGCACTCCTTTCTCTTTTGCACACTATCTCTCTTTATGAAAGCTTGAGAGGATGATGAAAATGAAGCTCAGATATTGCTCTGTTATTAGCCCCATTGTTGTATGAAGGAAATCAAATATCTAGTACCCAAGGTAGGGAAAACAAATATGCAGTAGGCTTGCTGCGAAACGTACACTCCTTCTTCCTGCAACTGGGAGGACATCAGTAAGACTCCACTCTTCCCTGCTAAAGCCATGCTCTCCCTTGGAAATTTCAACAGCATGCATTCTAGGCAGCCAACATGAAAGAATCAGGGAGACAATCATTATTTGGCAACTTTATTGTACTCTCATCAAACACTTTCTTCTGAGCATTTATTCAAGTAATATGACAGAGACATGATTTGATAAGGCCTTTCTGATACGGGGACTCTTGAATTGAGATATGAAAAAGTGAATACCATGAGTTGGAACAGGGTGAAGCCATGGGAGAGAGGATGAATAGTGCAGCTAAAAAGGATGTTCAAAAGCCCTGTGTCTACATACTTATTATTATTATTATTATTATTATTATTATTATTATTATTATTTTAAGATTCCACATATAAGTAAGATCAGGCAGGACTTCTTTTTCCTTTGATCTGACTTATTTCGCTTAACATAATATGTCTGGGTTCATCCATGTTGTTGCAAATGACAGGATCTCCTTTTTAAAGGCTGAATGATGTTTCATTGTATAAATACACGCCACAACTTCTTAGCCATTCATCTGTCAGTGGATACTTGGGTAATGTCCATTTCTTTGCTATTCTGAAGAATCCTGGAATGAACATGAAAGTGCAGACATCTTTCCAAGGCAGTGGTTTCTTTTATCAAAACATCATAGTGTACACTTTAAATATAGTCAATAATAAAACAAAAGAAGCCCTGTGGAAGGATGGTGTACAGCCGTGTATGGGAATGGAAATAATTTCACTGCAGCTGGAGCAGAGGGTGCCGGGGAAAGTGCTGCAGCAAGAGTCTGGAGAGTTAGATTAGACAGAAATTAGCCATACTTGGATTTGAAGGCCATTTTAAGTATGAGAACCTTTATCCTAAGATCATTAGGAGACCATTTAAAGATTTTAAATTGCAGCTTGAGTGATAGGCTCTGGTTCCAGGGAAATTGGAAAGAAATTAAGTCTAGCCTTCCTTCATTGTCTTCTCTGCTTTGCAGCCAGTTAAAGAGTTATTCGCAATCATTCACGTAAAAGGTGATGGTAGCCCTGGCAAGCAAGGGTGGTTGTGTTGGATGCACAGAAAAGTGTGTGGGTGTGATGCACAGTTGAGTTAGAGAGGACAAAAGTCTAAGGATAGATTGCATTTTCAGTTGAGGAAGATGGATGATCATATTTCTAACATGAGAGATTAGATGCATGCTGGTTCTATTTGTTGGTATAGAAAATACCATAGGAAATCTGGTTTTTAAAGAGGTGAAGGAGGGAAGGTGGGTGTGGGGAGAGAGAGGGGAGAGTGAGAGAGACAAATGTGTGTAGAGCTTGAAAATGACACATTTGAGGTATCTTTGATGATTTATCTGAAGAAATTCCAAGCTAGAAAGAGTAGAGGAGACGCATTTTCATTAAGAATTTTAGAATTTTTACATCTGGCAATTCATAAATCAGATAACAATGCAACTCTTTTAAACAAAATTATTGAAATGGAGAACACCATTTCTTCTCATCTTTCCCTCACTTTTTTTGCCTTTGCAATTGCATTACAGTGAATACAGCAAGATGCCATATTTCTTTATAAGAAAATGATTATTCAATCCAATAGTGGCAGATCAATTTCAAACGTGTGCCTTTTCTTAGAGATAATAACTATTAAGTATGATCACACTGATAGAGATGAGGAGCAGGCACAGAATAGGAATGGATAAAGGTATGTTCCATTTGTTTGGCTTCCCAAGACTCCCCATGTAGGACTAGCAGCACGGCATGGCCCCTGGCTGTCTTATTTATTTAATAAGCATACCGAAAGAGATCATCTCAAACCTTACCTGGAATATAAAGTTTGTGGAAAATGGAATCATTACACCAATTATAAGAAAACTGGGAGACTTTGCTTGAAGTGAGGATTTTCAGTGCCTACCTTATGGCAAAACTATTTGGAAAATGTTTTAATCCCCAGTCCTATAACTTCGTGATTCTAAGAGAGATGTTTTTATCCCATTGTTAAGTAAAGGGGTGTTAGGGCTAGAAGAAACCTTGCTGTTAATGTTGAGTATAAGGAGCCTTAGTTTATCCGAGGGACTCAGTGGATTTGAGCTCAAATGAGAATTAGGTAATGTTCTCCAGATTTGATTTTTCCTTTTGGGTTTTTAGGTCATTGAATGTTTAATTTTCCCTCGTTGTGGTTGCAAGGGGCCTAAAACTTTTTGGTGTTTTGAGTTTGGATTCCGCAGAAGCAGACACTGAGACAAGAATTTGATTGTGAGTTTAACTTGGAGATAGGACCAAGAAATACCAGTGGAGAAAGGAGACAGAGAGAGAGAGAGAGAAATAGACACACACACACAAAAAGGTGCATTATTGAGCCAGCTACTACTGTGGGTTACTGGAACTTTATCCCATTGGAGAAACTCTGGACCACTGTAAAGAAAGAAAAGAAAAGAAAAAACTCAAAGTTATCCTGTCACAGAATGGAGAGACCTAGAATTTTATATACTAACTCCTGTGAGTCTTTGAGGGCTGCTTCTGCAGGAAGCATTAATTTTCTGGCATTTCTGGCCTGACATTCAGTGGGCAAAATGGGTTCTGAAGGCCAGAAATAACCCTCAGGCAAAGAAATGCAGGAGTGGCAGTTAGATGTAAGACAGGTGTACACTACAGTAGTAATGGCCAGGGGTTATGGTTGGGACACCAACAGCTTCCTCTACACCAATGAAAGTGAGTGACAGCAGTATAACAACTGAAGTGACTTGAGTTAAAAATGGACTAATGCCACTAATTAGACACACTTTATTGCCCCAATATGAGAGTGAAGATACACTTGATTGTATTTTGCCTAGGAAGTGTTGAAGGCAGGATTTTCGTCTTTAGAGCAATGAGAACTTCAGCAACAAGAGGAGTGTTTCATGTGTCTGAACAGCTTGCTGCAGGGCACAGCAAAAGTTCAGTAATTGAATTTTATCAAAAATGGTCTAAAAGTCTGTAAATATAAAGGTACGTTCAAAAGTGACTTCCAGTGTGTTACACATTGCATCTTTCTGTGCTGAAATTAGCTTAATATTTTATGTTGGCAACAAAGAATATCCCCATGGGCAGTAAATGTGATTATACGGCAAAAAGGAAAAAAAATACACACATAGATTCCCTAATAGTCTTGATTTAGCTGCTCCAAATATACACTTGGTAAACATATGGTTGAGTAAGTTTCATATCTCAGAAGAGTATTGAAAAGGGATCATGCCTTCTTCTGGGAACTGTTTGTCTCTGATTCAGTTAAAAGACTGAACATTCCACAATGGAAATGGATATTTCTGTCTCTTCTATCACTTTATTGGTAGCATAAATAAAGGAATGACCAGAACAAAGGAGGTGACCAAAAGATATTTGTCATATAAATGAATGAATGGTTGGAATTTGTGTGACGCTCATTTTTCTCCTCTTTTCAAAGGCCTGTATCACTTCTCAGTACCGGAAGATGTGGTTCTTGGCACTGCAATAGGCAGGGTGAAGGCCAATGATCAGGATATTGGTGAAAATGCACAGTCATCATATGACATCATTGATGGAGATGGAACAGCACTTTTTGAAATCACTTCTGATGCCCAGGCCCAGGATGGCATTATAAGGCTAAGAAAAGTAAGCTAAGGAAACTTTTGTTCATCTTCAAAATACCTCTTTGAAACTTGAGTTTTAAAGTTGAGGTACTTGTATGGACTTCCTGACAGAATTGTAGAGCTGGTAGACGTTTAGCATTGAGCAATAAGACAAGATAACCAGTGCACCTCGTATCCTTTTGGCACCTCGTATCTCTTGGGCCCCCTTCACATTTCTGCTAAAGGTCTGGTAAATGGCTACCATAATAGTGCTGCTCCTCCAACTTACCTATTACCCATAACCACAGGAATTTACTGAGTCCTTAGACAGGGCACTTCAACTATGTGGGGAAGTCAATATCCTGTGAAGGCAGCCCTCAACCAAAGGGGGAGAAAAATTGGTAGACAGTTACTATCGTTCAAAGAAACTATTCTGAGTCATATTGTTTAAGGTTGTAAAAGGATTCTCAGTGAAAACAGGCCTCAGTTGCCCACAGAGGTGACGAGTTCAGTGGCTTTTAGCCTTTCTGTATATAACTCTCCTCATGTTTGAACTCTTGCTTCCTGAAATATCTTCCCCAAATACACTGAAGCTTCCCAAGTCCTTATTGAAGGCTATGCTTTCATGGAAAGTTAAAAAAAAAAAAAAAAAAAAAAAACAGGCAGAACATTCAGGTTCAGTTATCCTGGTTCAGTTATCCTGGCTTTCTCTAGTGCCTGAAGGACAGGGCCAAACCTGCTACCATTGCATACTCCAAACTATGGCTCAGAGGTTTGAGCATCATGGGAAATGAAGCTCATCTTTCCCTTGCTTCTGGATAGGGAGCTACCATTGAAGAAAGAAACATCTCCATAACAAGCATAAATAATGTAGGAAAATTTGAGACTGCTTTTGTTAGCAATCTCTTGCTTTTATGGTAGATGTAAAAAAATTCTGTACGACATTTTCCATTTATATTTCTCATCATAAAATCTACACTCATAAGAAATGTGTAGAACATAGTTCCTTACTTTATAGTCACAAAGCACTTGCAAGGAAAATACTCTTTGATCCTCATCCTGATTATTTTCTTCAATACTGTTCTTCAAACCTTTCTCATGAAGTAGATCAAACTAGTTTTTAAATGGATTTGCTTGTTCTCAAATAAGATAGATGGTGGACCACACAATTGGGAGTCAATAATTTTTTTCACTTTCTTCATCAGCATCATGTAGATATGAGTGTAAGGTTACTATCTGAATCTCCATTGTGCCACACGGAGACCTATTTCCAATGGTCTTGCTCTAAAAATCGCCCCCACTGAAGAGGTCTTAACAATGAAAACCTAAAGTTTTCTGGATGTTCTTTTTTATAAAAAATATTTTTAAAAATCAATTTTGAGAAAGATGTCTACATTTATTTTAACTCTCTGCTGAGCAACGCGATCTTTCTACCAAAATCTTGGTTTCAGTTTAGCATTAAGAACTACAAAACATTTAAAAAGCCATGTTTGAAATAAAGTATAGCATAATATTTGAGTCAATTATTGAATAACCCAGAGTCACATTTTCCTTGACTAATGATTCCTAATGTCATTTTTATTGTTATTATTCCCATTTTTTTGCCGTAAAGTGCAGTTATAAACTGAAACAATTAGCCATTTGCTTTATTTTTATTTGCTGTTAGTCCTAAACTTGGAAGCATATACTATACACCTTGACACCAAGTAAAACATGTATTTTACCCTAGAGAACAGTGCAAAGGAGTTGTATTTCTACAATTTATAGGCCCTGTTTTTTGTCCAATAAAATTCTTGGGACACCAGAATGTGTCTGGGTTCATTGTCGTTATGTTGAGCTGGAATTAAGCAGAACATAATTTGTTACACTTAACAATGTTTGCGAAGAATTTGAAATTTCAAAATTGTTACAGTAAAGGTGATTGGCAAATTGTGAATATGCTGATGTTGCATGATCTATTCATGGATGCATGTGCCTAGTAATTTTAGAATAGGTAGGAAAGTGAGTGCCTGCCTGGTTTACTAGAAGATATGGGGGGAAAAAAGGAGCCAAGTCCCATTAGATCAGAATTCAAATGTAAAAACCAACACAATAGTTTGAAATAAGAATATATAATGAAGCTTGTACTGGAATTCTGAAAGAGTTCACTGGTGCCAGTTTGTCTTCTAGCTTATTTTTAAAAATCTTCATTGCCTATTTAAAGTTATATTTCTTTTGAGAAATGTGTAATGCAGTTGTATACTGTCTCTTTGAACCTCGATAGACTTGCATTCTTGAAATCTGAAGTATTGTGATTCACCAAAAATTGGACTATAAAGGTGCTAATGCACACAGGCTTCTGGCTTATTGAAGGTGGCTTCTTTTTACCTAGCTTTACTTACCTAGGTCATCGACCAAAGTCTCTCAGAGTTTTAGGGAATGAAGTATTAATGTCAGACACATTGTCAGTAATGGTGCAATGAGGTAATTTCAAATTGCTTTTAAGTGGTTGGTGGGGGCACAATTAGATTCAGTTATCTATTTATACTGCTCGCATAATTTCTTCTTCTAAATATAAACACAAGTACATACATATGTATCGGTGCACATATTTCTTTACATGCCCACCTGCCTCATAGCATAAATTCATAATAGAGAGCCTCTAAGAATGTCCTAAAAAATAATAAACCTCATTTTAACCACATGATCAGTAGAGTAGCAATGCTTTAAAGTGAAATCAGAAAATACTCTTTGTGGGGATTAGTGCTAAATTATGCTTTATAATGTCTCCTTGGACTAAACAATGATTATTTCTAGTTCTTTACATTTCACACTCTGTTGCAGAGATGATAAAATATTCTTCCCAGATAGAGATTGTGTTCGATGTCGCCTTATCTGCCACCAGCAGAGGCCCGATTAAGTGGCTGATTAGTATGCAGGTCATGCTGTCACTAGTAAAATTTTATTATGACTCTGAAGTGAAATTTTGATGGCACAATTCATGACTGTGAATATTTTGTGAATTCCAAGTGAAATGAGCAAAACAAAACAAAACAATAGGATATTAGATTCACTGAGCTTGTATAATAAACAGATACCAATAAATGCCCGTAAAATTTACAGGTTGAATCTGGGGGGACTGGAGAGTGATCCCATTAAGGCTCACAAATGAGTTTAAATGCACATAACTTTCATCCATCAGTATTATACTCATTTGTTCTTGCTGCTGTGGTCATTAGTGAGAAGCATTTATCTTTGTCATTTCTTAACAGCCTCTGGACTTTGAGACCAAAAAATCCTATACGCTAAAGGTAGAGGCAGCCAATGTCCATATTGACCCACGTTTCAGTGGCAGGGGACCCTTTAAAGACACGGCGACAGTCAAAATCGTCGTTGAAGATGCTGATGAGCCTCCGGTCTTCTCTTCACCGACTTACCTGCTTGAAGTTCATGAAAATGCTGCTCTGAACTCCGTGATTGGGCAAGTGACTGCTCGTGACCCTGATATCACTTCCAGTCCTATAAGGTATTTGTCTTTTAAAAGGAATACTGGATACTGCAAATGACAAGCAGATCAGTGCAAAATGCCTTTGCATGTACTTTCTGTGTGGCCGCCCTTGGGACTATGCTCACATCACCAAATAATGTTGGTTAGCCCATACTCTGTGTGTGTGTGTGTGTGTGTGTGTGTGTGTGTGTGTGTATGGTGTGTGTACATGCACATGTGTACCTTCTAAGTGCTACACAGAGCCCAGAGCCAGGAATATCAAGATGAATTCAGCTATTCCAGCTCTCAGAGAGCTCTATGAAAATGCAGAGTTGCAAATGTTTGCAATACATTTAGGTGGATCTTGTTATTTTTATGTTTTTGTTTGTTAGTGTTTTTTGTTGTTGTTGTTTGTTTGTTTAGCTTTGGGGAAGCATTGCTAGTGTATCCTCTGTCTCTTTTGACAGTTATGGCGAATTATATATTAGAATTTAGAGGTGTGAGACCACTGTGTCAATGCATTAAGAGGCTCCTATCTTATTTCTGCATTTGGTGTTTACCTTTGAAATTATCTTTTTATCACTTCTTGGACATTTCTGATAGGTCAGCATATCTGGTTTGGTGTCTCCTAGATAAAAATCTTTCTCTGCATTTCAAAAATACCTTTTGTTTATAGTTTTTCTGCTCAAAATTTTTCCCCAGGATGAGAAATAATTCTTTATTAAAGCTTTTCTGCCTTTGCTTTAGAAATGAAGCTCAGCTTGATTTTTTTTTTTCTGTTGTACTGTACACACCTTTTCCTCTTTTTCCAGTCACGCAAATGACAGTACAGGTTCTCCAGCTAAGTAGCTTTCTCCCGAAAGCACACTGAAAATCTATAACTTCTATGCTGGTCTCCAAGGGTGAAGTGTTTGCTAATGATGTGTTTGAATGTGAATTTCAAATATTGTCTTACGAATATTTGTTGCAAAATCAAGGAGATAGAGAGTGAGAAGTAGATGGAGGAATACAATTTTAAAGAATTGTCCAGTTAATTTCTGAGTTAGATGTCAGCTCATACCAAACCCTTTCAATTTACAAGTCACAGATAACTAGGGCAGATATGCTTCCAATTACTTCATTTGGGGAAACCCTGGTAAAGTGAGTTATCTGTAGGTTTATTTATTCAATTTTTTAAAAAAAGTATTAAATTCCTGTTACTCACAAGGGTGCTGAGACTCTGAGGCTGAGATTAAAACCTTGCAGAACAGTCAGCACCCCAAATAAGTTGAGTTTGTACAAAAATTATTTACAGACCCAGAACAGCACTTTTTGTTTTTAAGTACAAATCATTTCTAAATTCAGAACAACAAATAAGACTGCAGCCAATAAGGATACAAAGAAGGTTTCCTGCAGAAGAGTCTAACCTCTAAGAAGATGAAACTTTACCTGGGGATTTGAGAAATGGTCCATTGGCCATTCTCGGTTCTAAAGAAATTTCACAAACTATAGACATACACAACGGCCCATATTTGGCTAAGAAAATTATATCTATTAATGGGCCAATGTTGAATGCAATGGGAGGAATATCCAAAAATATTTACTTTGGCATGAATTTCCTGAAAATATCGTGAAATTATGCAATGGCTTTATGCTGGAATGCTGACACGAATGGGGGCAACGATACTTGTGGAGTGGATGAATCTGCCCTGTTTTTATGTTTCTCAATTACCTCTGAAAGGAACTCAAAAAGGAGTAGTTGCCACATCCTTTACATCTCCAAGCAGAAGACAGAATGTGAAGGAAGTGAATGAGATGGGTTCCACTGAGAGACCGATCAGAGAACCAGTTTTAGTACTTGATTTCACAAGGTTTCTACTCTTGTCAGCCAGGAGCATGTAAGGGCTCCAGAGTCTGCCAAGCCAAGGATCCTTAGGGAAAATAAGGGTTCAAATATCAGCACAATAACATAATAACATAAGCTCCCAACATGGAATACATGGTACCAGTGGGAGTGGACTGGCTGTGCAGAGACACGATCTCGATCATCTAGAGATGAGGCTTGAGGAACTTTTCATGCCATAATAATAGTAGCATCTTATTGGCAGAGCTAGCTATAAATCCAGGTGCATAGCTGTCCACATATGGCTGCACATTTTATAATCTATTCATTTTACTGATGGAAAATGGTGATTTACTGATACTAATTCCAGTTCACACGGAATCAAGCGAAGATTCTCATCGTAGCTGCTAGTTATTACTATTGCTATTGTTACTTTTATTACTGTTACTGGCAGGAAAGTTTGTGTAGAGGAAGCTTGAGGCTGTTTAGAAATAACTTGTCCAGCTTAGAAGCATTTCATTTTCAGACAAGCTAAAGGGGATTTGAGAGTGTTTTGACCAGGAAGAGATGGACAGATAAAGCACTATTTGATGACACAGGCCTATCTGTGCTTCTGATAGATGTCAGGCAAGTGCTAGTTCCTCAGCATCTCTGGTTCTACCCAAAGAAGGGACGAATGCTGTTTCAAAGCATTTACAGCAGCCTTTGATGTGTCATTCAGAAGGGGAAGCCCACACATTTTTGATTAAACCTGGCTTGGCTCCATCGGATGAGAACTCAAGAATCACAAACCATATTTTTCAACATCTGTTCTGCATTTCTACAGTCCTCTGCCCCCACCTCCACCCCAGTTGGATCTGGAGAGCAGCTTCCCTCTCTCTACGCACAATTGGTTAATTTCAGAAGAAAATTAAATTTCCTCACTAGCCAGAGCAATGCATAGTTCCTTATGAGTCTAGCGGACAGATTTGGAGCCATTTAACCTTTTTAGACAGAACCAGAGGACATGGATATTCAGGGAATTACTGGGTAACACATAGCTATGCATTATTTTCTCTTTAGGACTGTTCTATTTTATACACTAACAAGAATGTATCCATCTTTTAGGATAATGCTTAATTTGCTATCCAGCAAGAAATAGGCATTTATCCCAGCATCTGCCACGCTAAAAAATGGTTATTTGTTGGTTAGTCAGCTTCTCATGCAGTTCAGTGTCTTTTTAGAGCACATTGTCAGGCTAGAAATAACATGTATTTTTGAATTCTTATACCTAATACTATATCTCTATCTGTATGTATATGTCTGTATATTCCTTTCGAGGGGAAGATGAACAGTGACATAGAGAAAAATCCGTCATCTTACCCTCTCATTTGTAGGAACATTAATTAGTTCCTTGCTACTTTCTGCAATACCACGTCTTTCAGTAATGTAAAATAAAGGTGTGTAAATTATTGAAAAGATGACATATTTTGAACTTAGGGAGACTAAGGTTGAAATCGTATCACTATTGCTTCCCAGTCAGAGAACTAGTCCCTGGAATTCTCTGAAATTCAGTTTTCTCCTCTGTATGGGATAATATCAACTTTCTTGCAGTGTTAATGAGATGATTAAGTGACAATATTAAATAAAATATGTGGTAGCTAGTAGTGTTACCAGTTAATAATAGGCAAGCCACCATCAAGTTCACATCTTAAAAGCAAATTAAAAACCTAAAACTTATATTAGTAGAGATTCACCTAGGTGGCTGACTGTGTGCAGAATTCTGGTTTTTTTTTATTTGACAGTTATATGCTAAATAGTCTAATTAATATCATTTAGTCTATTTTTTTTTCCCGCTACTGCTATGGGTGTTGTTACTAGTGAGTGCTTAGTATATATCAGGAACTGTGCTACATATATTCATTTCATTCTCTAACACCTATATGTGGAGTCATCATGTTGCAGGAGTTTGCTCCTTAGTTCAGCTAAAGCTGGGTTCTTGTCACATAACCAGGAAAACTTAGGCACGTGGACACATTGAAGGGTGAGTAGGAGAGGATTTTATTGGGCCAACGGAGAGAGGAAGAAAAAAAAAAAATAGCAAAGCAAGACAGAGTCATGCTAACAGGCTCCCCACCTCACAGATTGAATCCCTGGGGTCACAACACGGGAAGTGAAGAGGCCAGGCTCCTCCTCCTGCCCGTGGCTCCGCCCTCTTCCCCCAGTGCACATGTAGGCATGCTCAGACACAGCCCTGGGAAGTTCCCTCATCTGCACAAAAGCATCAGATGTAAACACTGGTGGGGCAGGTCGGAGATTCTACGGGTACCTTTTATCTATTTAGGCATTTGGCTGTCTCAGTTACACCTATTTAAGAGATGTGAAACCTGAGGATTAAAGAACTAACTTGCCCAGTATCACACAAATAGTTAGAAGTGGAACTGGGGTGTGCACCTGGGTCTTATGATGGTGCCTCGACAATCCACAGTCCTTTCTTTTCCTTGTGATTTCTGTAACTCCAATTGTGCCTATGAGCTTTAGCTTTAGGATGACTGAGTAGGACCAATTATAATGGAAATAATTGACTACTCATTCTCTAAATGACCTCACTGAATATCAGGAAAGAAGAAAAATAAACCAAATCTGTGGAATTAACCAGAGTATAAATGCTGTGATCTTTGCTCATCTGCCTAGCCTCCTGATATGGGTTTATTACCTTTGGCTGTGAACCAGATTGTGATGGGCAAGGTAAGGGGGAAAACAATGTTATTTTTATTTGATGAATCCGACACCATGCTAAGCTCCTATTATATATTATCTCACTTAATTCTTACAAATGACACCAAGAAATACTCAGTATGATTTCAGTTTTATAAAGAAGGAAACTTAAAAAAGGATTAGCTTCCTGTACTTGGTGATATATCACATAGAAGCAGGACGAGAGGTTAAATACAAGTTTCTGCTTATCATTGGCTGCTATACCTATGCATGCGCTTCTAGATTATGGATTCTTGAAAGTGGAATACGATGATGACAGTCGGTGTTTACTGAGCCCATACTTTGTGACAGACACTCTGAAAAGTTGTTATATGCAGCAAATTATTTATATTTAAGGTAAGCATTCCTACCCCAGAACAGGTATTAAAATAAGTCAGTTCTTTCATGTAAATCTGCTATGGCCCATTTTATTTTCTCATCTCATAAACTTATTTCGAGTGTGTATTGGGTGTACCGTGGC